TCCCCAGTGGGGTCCCCCAAAGCTGTCCACTCCTTCACCTGTTCCGGAAGCTCGCCCCCCCGGTGGCCCGGGACCTCCTCCCCGCCGCGTCCCCCTCCTTGGGTCATCGGGTCTACTTTGTGGAGCGGGCACGCTCACTTCGGGTGGCGGAACAAAGGCCCGAGTCCTTGCTGTGCTCGTCTCTCGGGTGACTGAGCCTCGATCCCATCGTCCGATAGTAGGGTCGGCCGGGGTGCCCGTCCGCAGGGGAGGGTGACCCCGTTTAGCCGCTGTCCGTTCCGATGACCGACCTCTCCCCACGCCCCCACGCCGGCATCTGTCTCGCCTGGATCTTAGCCCGCGCCTTCCCGGCTCCTTCCGGTGTCCCCACCTGCGTGTCGCGGTCGGGGTGAGATCCACCGGTGCGGTGCGTGGCACGCCCGGCTGTCCATCCCTCCGGCCCCTGCAGACCGCTGGTCCGCCGTACTTCTCGCTGTGTGCTCTGTCACCCGCTTCTGCCTGTTTTTGTCCCTCCCCACCCTACCACGTCCCCGGACTTTCCCTCCCGAGAATGTTTTCCTTCGCCCTGTGCTCTCACCTGATGTCGAGCCGGTGAGGGTGAGGTAAAGCCTGGAGTCTGTCCCCGTGTGTGTCACCCCGTCATCTTCCCGTGACTCCGGAGGGTCTCCCTGTCCCCAGCCCGCCCAGGTCTCCGCCGCATTCCCCAGAGCAGGAAGACACCGGTCCCGCCGTCCCGTGTGCTGTGTGGGGCTGGATTTTTAGCGGGGTCGTCGTGGTTACCGAAGCATTTTTGAGTACCTGGGAACGGGGTGGGAGGGATGAGCGAATGGGCCGCGTGCCCTCTGGTGCCCTCGGGATCCCTGCTTCGCCCCTCCCGGCCTCCCCGGAGGAGACAATGCCGCTTTGATAACCCTCTCTCCTCTCTCCCGCCTGCCTGGCAGGCGCTCTGCTGAGATTTCTCAGCCGGCGAGGCAGGGCCGACGCTGTGGTGCCCAGCACGGCTCTCCCGACCCCTGGGCCTTGGGGGCCTCCTCCCCGCTCACACCTGCGCCCTCTTGGTGTCCTGCAGGGACATCATGTCCATCTACAAGGAGCCGCCCCCGGGCATGTTCGTGGTCCCGGATACTGTGGACATGACCAAGGTAGGAACCTGATGGGTCGGGTCGGGTGGGAAATCGAGCGATGATTCGGCTCACCTCTGCTTATGTAGACCGGGAGAGTAAGACCCGAAGTCACGCAGCTAAGGCAGAGCCTGGAGCCGTGTCTGTGGTCAGGGCGCACCCGCGTGCTCTTGGCTTGAAGAAGCCCCATCCTGGGGTGACGGTGAACAGGCACCCTCGCCCTCCTAGTGTCCTCCGTCCAGACGATGCAGACCCTGGTCATCTGTGGAAGAGATGCGGGGAGGCCGGGCAGGGCCGGTGGTCACAGGGCCCCACTTAGAGTGGTCGTGCGGTAGTTAATGTCGGGTTTGCCCTCCGGAGTGAATGTGCAATTTTAAATTGGTGTTGGGAAGAAATCTTGTTTTCCAATCCTGCTAGTGTTGTTTTAAGTGAGAATTTACACTTTCAGATTTCTTAAACATCCAACTTTTGGGTCACTGGCGTGTCCTTCGTTGTTTCAAAAGGGCTTCCTTTGCATTCATTTATTTATCGTGCTTGTTTGTGTGGATAGAAATGTTTTCCCGGCACCTCTTGCCCCTGTCAGACCTAGTGCTGGACGCTAGTTCGGAGTCCCAGAGCCGGTGCTGTGTAGGCTGAGGCCAGCTGAGCCTGCTCTTCCCCTTGGATGATCAGGGGCTGGAAGAAAGCTAGGAACTTGCCGGGCGGGCATGGTGAGCTAGGGACTGAGGGGCAGGATTGCAAGGTCCCTCTTCCTCTTACTGTTCAAACTCTGAGCAGACATGAGGCCTCTGGAGCCTTTGAAGACAAATATACTTGAGCCACCTCCACCCTTCAAGAAAGGGAGAACATGCTGCTGGGTGTGGTGGGCAGGCCTGTTATCCCAGCACTCAGGAGGCTGAGGCAGGAGGATCACTGAGTGCTTGAGGCCAGCCTGGGCTACATACAGGGTGAGACCCTGTCTCAGACAAGCAAAGGGAAGCAAAGCGTGTTCAGTAATGAAGGGCTCGTGGAGGAAGAGGATGTAGTATTCTGTCTTACAGAGTGCAGTTTTGGTTTTCTCCCCAAAGCAGCGGTGATGGGGAAACTTCAGGGATGATCTCACTGCCCTGAGTGGACCCCGAGTTTCCCCACCTCCGTATCTTAAACACCCCGGCTTCCACTTGAGCCACACCCTCCACAGGTTAGCTCCCTGCAGAGAGGAGCAGGTGCCTCCAGTTCCTTTCACTGCCTGCTGCATGAGTTCAGGAGTGGATGCTTAGCCTGGATGGACCCACAAATGCACTCAGTAAAATAAGAACTGGTTTCTTAAAATTAAGCATGGTAGCTGGGCATGATGGTGCACACCTGTAGTCTAGCACTTAGGGAGACTGAGGCAGGAGAATTGCTACAAACTGGAGGCCAGCCTGGGTTCCGTTGTGAGATGTCTTGAAAGGAAAAAAAAAACCCTAAAACTAAAATTGTTTTATGGATGCATGTTTATTTTACATGGGAAGTTCTAGTTATTTGTTGTATGTAACACTTATCCAGGAGGCCTGCCCAAAAGTCAGGCTTTAAAGGACTTAAGGGTTACTCAAGGTGTGATGTTTGACTAGATTCATTTTCCACCTTGAGCTGCTAGTGCTGGGACAAACCCTGAGTGAGGTTTGGAGTCTTCCCTTGTGTTTTTCCCCCGTACTGGGGATCGAACTTAGGAGACACTTGGTGAACCAGGTGCGATGCCACCGAGCTAAATCCCCAGTCCTCCTCCTCTTTTGAGACAGGGTTTCTCTACGTGTGTAGTTCAGCCTGGCCTTGAAGTCACAAGGATCCTCCTGCCTCGGCCTCCCGAGTGCACCGCCGTGCCCAGTTGTGGTGGGATTCTTAACATTCCCAGCAAGTCTGCTGGAGTGCGGTGCGAGCACAGGGAGGGCTGGGTGGGGCTCCCCTCACAGCCTTGAGACAGCTTTTGTTCTGCAGATCCACGCGCTGATCACAGGCCCCTTCGACACTCCCTACGAAGGCGGTTTCTTCCTGTTCGTGTTCCGGTGTCCGCCCGACTATCCCATCCACCCTCCTCGGGTCAAACTGATGACCACGGGCAACAACACCGTGCGGTTTAACCCCAACTTCTACCGCAATGGCAAGGTCTGCTTGAGCATCCTAGGGTAAGAGGGGCCGCCGGGCCGAGTGGTTGTCCGCAGGTGACGCCAGCTCCGGCCCCCGCCCGAACCGGGACGCTTGTGATGGCTGCCGGCCCAGCCCGGGGCCCGCTGTGCTCTTCCCCGGCCGCCTTCATTTCCGAGTCTCACGGAGGCTTTGGCTGAGTGAGTGAGTGAGGCGCCCGAGCCTGGGGCTGCAGTGTGGGCTGCGAGCAGGGTTCTCCTGCGTGGGCGACTTGGCCTCCTTCCATTTCCCGGCGGCGGGATGGAAATGAGCTCCCTGGGGCGGAGAGCAGGCCCAGGTCTCAGGCAGAGGAAGACGCCGGCCTGCAGTTGTGTCTTCTCCCCGCCCAGCACCCAGCACGCTTTGCTTCTGTGGGGGACGGGGGCTGAGCGCCCGGAGACAGGGTTTGTCTGCTGGCACTGGTGGTGAGGAAGGACCTTGCCCTCGCCAGGGCGCAGGCCGTGCCCGGGACAGCGTGTGTCCGTGTGCGAGGTGTGCGAGGGCTGCTGCTGAACGCGGGA